TGTCTCTTATAGGCCAGCTTTTTTTCCACCTGAAACATCTAATTGGACAAGGTAAAGATAAATAACCTAGGGAGGAGGTGGAGCAGCGACTGGACCGAGATCTAGGACATTCCTGCAAAATCCCCCCATGTGTTTCTGTTCAATCAGGGCCCACAGCCTTGGAATGCCATGGCAATTTGGCTAAGTCCTTTCTGATAGGTATTTTCTCATGCTTTCTGGAGGGAGATGGGACGGAGGGACCATGTTAAATGTCACAGGCCAAAAGAGCAGCTTCCCTTCTGCCAGCACCTACAGTATAACAGTAAAGGGAGGAGGTTTCTGAAGTAGCAATGTGTACAGAATCCTAGTAAAGAACAAGTAGGACTGGGATCAGCAGTTAGCGTAATGGCTATGTCGCTGGACTCCCATGTAGTCAACCGTGGTTCGAGTCCCAGACCCGGAAGCTTAAACTCATGCCGGGCGCATGTGCGTGCGTGCCCAAGATCATGAGAAAGGAAGAGTGAAGAATCAGGGAGGAAGAGTGAATGGGATAAAACAAGAGGCAGGGATACAGGAAATCTCCAGTTCTCTGTCCTAATACAATGAAATTATACGAGAATTACTCAACTATGGATTTGGACTCAGGAATCTTTGCCCATATTGATATCTCCAAAACATTAAAAACAATAACATTTTCAAAATTTTTATTCTTTGGGACCAGCAGTTAGCAAAATGGCTATGTCACTGGACTCCCACGTAGTCAACCACAGTTCGAGTCCTGGACCTGACAGCTTAAACTCATGCCGGGTGTGTGTGCGTGCGTGCCCAAGATCCCGAGAGGGGAATGGAGGAGAAGGGATTGCAGCATGGCCATCCCCCCTGGGGGGTGATTTCTCACTTTCTGTCTGTCTCTCTCTGTCTTCCTGGCAAGTGCACAAGCCCTTTAGCAAAACAAAAACCAAAAAACAAAAAACCTCCCCCCAAATTTTTATTCTTTCATATATTTAAGGTTTCTGTCATGGGTCATATGCACTTCCTAGAAAGACACAGAAGGAGATAGAGAGAGGGAGATGAGAAATTGCCTCTTCTCCCGGTGGGGGAGATGGCCACACTACAATCCCTTCTCCTCCATTCTTCTTTCACAATTTTGGGTATGCCTGCACAGGTGCCTGGCAGGATTTTTAAGCTACTAAGTCCAGGACTCGAACCATGGTCAGCCATGTGGGAACCCAGCATCTTAACCACCAAGCCTCCTGCTGATGCAAATATTAATTTCTTGTTAAAACAATAATTCTTGTTCTCGAAACCCTTGTCATTAAACTAAACTTCCCTTTATTTGCCCACATAATTCCTGGGTCTGTCTACATGCCTTGAAAGTATGTATTTGTAACCTTAACTCATTTATTAACATTTAAAATAAAAGCCCAAATTAAAAAATAAAAGTAATTATCCTTTTTTAAAAATAAAAATTCAGATACTAATACTAATTCATAAAAACTATTATATTCTGTAAATTTACTATTAAGATATTCCTTACATATATCACTAGCCTAAGTTAACCTTAAATTCTGAATAAAACTTAGATCTGAATGGATCCAGCTTTAGATCAGATAAATAAACTTTTGAAAATTAATAAAGCAGGGCCAGCAGGTGGTGTGGTGGGTAAGGGTGCTGGACTCCCACATGGTCGACCATGGTTAAATTCCTGGACCAGGTGGCTCTCTCACTTTCTCTCTCGTTCTGTCCTTCTCTGGTCAAAATTAAAATAAGTAAATAAATAAATAAAGTTAAATAAAATAATCCTTTAAAAAAGTGGATAAAGCTGGAGAACTCTGGGCTCTGATCTCATGAAACTGAGTAGAAAGTAAGCAATGTATTTCTGAAGTCCAGCTTAAACAATCTGAAAGTACTGGGTTTTAGGGCTTCATAAAGTGACATCAATTTTTATGGTGCACCTTGAGAAATGATGGCCATTCAACCTCCTTAGCAGGGCATTCCTGATAAATAAAAAGAGGATTTTCTTCTTTGAGAAAGTAGATATTGGAGAGTTATCAACACTAATAATAACTTTAAAATATATAGACACAACTGGAAGAATAAATAGACCTCAAATCCTTTCATAGCATAAAAAAAAAAAATCAACCACGTTTTCAAAGAAGTGAAAAACTCATTGAAATGAAAAACTCCTGCTGGCAAAAATATAAAACTAAACACAAACAACTTCAAATAAAACCCTGGGGAAATTTCTTGATGTGTGCTAGAAAATGTAAACTATGGAATGAAACGATGCTATTACCTTTTAGTTCAATTTCCTCTTCTCTATTGACAGTACAGACAAATCACCTTACTTTTTGATTTGAAAATCTCATTAACATATAAAATACATTATTAAGGAGTAAAATCTGAAATCTTTTGAAACTGCAAGCAATTACACACTCACTGACTTAATGGTTCTATAAATGTTCCTGGTACCCAATTTAAAACTAACCCTCTACTACTGAAGCTCCCAATACTAACGTAAAGTACTGAGCAGTTTCTGGGTGCGAGGTAAGGCGCCACCAGACGCCATAAAGGAGAGAGACAACCAAGCACACCGTCTGTCCAACTTGTACACTGCACGGTGACAGCTGGTAAGAGTCTGTCAGCAGAATCAAGCAAAAAAAGCTGAAACTTTTAGAATGATTTAGCATATCCTAAATGTGATTTATGGATATCACCATTAAAAAGAAGATATTTTTCAACCCTGAAAAGAGTTATGTAGCAATAGTTCTTCTGGGAGGTTAGGCTACTATAAAAGCTTAAGATTAATTTCATAGAACATTTGCCAAAAGACAATTAAAAACCCAAATTGATTTTTTCTTTTTTTTTTTTGGAGAGGTTTTTGCTATAGGGCACGTGCGCTTGCCAGAAAGACAGAGAGACAGAAAGCGAGAAATCACCCCTCAGGGGGGATGGCTACACCGCATCCCTTCTCCTCCATTCTCCTTGGGATCTTGGACATGCACGCACATGCACCCGGCGTGAGTCTCAAGCCACTGGGTCTGGGATGTGAACCACGGTCGACTACATGGGAGTCCAGCGACATAGCCATTATGCTAACTGCTGGTCACATGTCTTTTAGATTGATACTCTTCTCAAATAATAGTACTTTGGCTAAAACTCTGGTGGATATTCTCTTTCACAGTTAATCTAAGTCATTCAAAATCACTACTTCTGAACATATTTTGCAACAAGATGATGAACATGAGAAAAGAATAGGTGTGCTGTGGAAGATCGATTTTACTTGTAAAATACTTCGGACTGGATGTGGTGCTAATAAATATACACCATTTACTCTTTTGGGGTGGAATTGAATCATGTGCATTTCATCATGCACTCTGTTGGCTGATACGCAACTCTTTGTCAGCTAGAATTCATCACTCTCTCAAAAAGCAGAAAGGGACATTAATAGTCCCTGTCACCCCCACCTCCCCTTTGCTCTATTGCTTTTACACTGAGAAATGTTTCAAGGAGACCCCTTCTAACAGGATTTGTATGTTGGCAACAAGTACCTCAAAGAGTACAGCATAGCTGGGCTGCAGTCTGAAGTCTCCTGGGGTTCTGATACTTAGAAGTTCTGTTAAAACCCGTCTGAGACCACAAGCCACAGGTGCAGCTGCTGCCTGAGAGTCTGGGACCCAGGTTCAGACGCGCCTCAATGCACACAGGTCTTCTTGGCCATCATGCCCACCCCAGGTCAGCACGTGTTGTGTTAAAGGGTTTTCACTTCTCACCTAACCAAAACCCACTGTGTTTACCAACACTGGAGTTAGAGAAGCAAAACAATAGAGGGTTACATTCACTTAGTATCAAATACTTCGGGGTTGCTTTGAAGGATTACGTGTCTCTGATGCAGGTTTCCATGCTGTAGGGGAGCTGCTTTGTCTTTGCTCCGGACACATGAATCCCTTTTAGAGATTTGAAGAATTCAAAAAAACTGAGTTTGCCACTGTTGTGAGATGTTAAGGAATTGATGATATAAAAAATGCTGTGTTTTACGTGCTTATTAAATATGTCATTTAAATAGGGCAATAAATTCATAATAATTTCATAAACTGATCAGGCACTCTGGCTTCATCCCAATGTAACAAATGGTGCCTTCCACTTCATTTATCCTGACTATGAAGTCTGCGTTCCTTAGGGTGATATCCAAGGTCCTCCACAATCAGGTCTGAATGTCGAGTACCTCAGAAAGTATTCCTCAGTTCTCCACTCACTCTGCCCCAAGCTGTCACCCAATTCTGCCAGGCAGTGTCCCAACTCTGAGGCTTTTAGGCCTTTCTTCTCTGGTTGCAGGCCACTTCCCAACATTATCTCTAACAGCACCAATATCACCAGAGACGTGCCTAGTTGCTCATATGGTTGACTTGCTCCATAGACAATGAGCTCCTAGGTGGGAAGGACTATAGCTTAACCCCTAGGATGGTGTCTGGTACACAGTAGTTATTAATCAAATACTTGCTAAATGACATTTATAATTAAGGGTTTGTACTGCATTCATCTAAGATCTAATATGCACTGTATACTGCGTCTCCATATCCAAGGATGAGATGACCTTATTTTTATTTGTGGGATAAAGCTTCTATGAAATTATACATCAAAATATTTCTCTATTTCCCTGGCAAAATAGAACATGCCCCTTTTAGTTGCCCAGTAAAATAAAGATGGTCTAAAAAGGAGTCATGGGGTGTACTTCTTACCCTTTAACAGGCTGAAGGTACACTCATAAAGACCACATCTTTAGAGTCAGGACTGAAGAGCTATAGTCACTGACTTGAGATGGGGCATCTTTTTTACAAGGAAGGAAAGGGAACTAAACCACAGGGTCTACACTGGGCAACATGGTACACACACATTTGCATCTTATATTTGTCTCCACAAAAAAGCTATCAATGTACCTGTTTTGCAGATCGAAAACACAAAGGGATTGCAAGTAACCTCACTTACACCATTACCCTGTCGGAAACATATAAATCACCTACTTCTTTCTGATCAAGTTGAAGAGAGGACTTTATTAAGTCTCGGAGTGCAGTTAGCTGTTTCTTTTCTTCATCCTGGGTCTGTTTTATCTATGAAAGAGAACATTAGTTCTATTACTTAACATTTATGCTTTTATGAGCAGAGTTTAATTTATCCAAATCCACTGTTCATCAAACAATTCACTTGTGTAGTTGGTTATGTTATTAAAGTCCTTCATACTGTCTTGTTCTAGATACGAGTGGCAGTCTTTTCACCTAATACAAGTACCAGTGAGTTTTGAAATTAGTGCGTAACACGATATACTTTCTTATTAAATAATATAATCTAGGCTAGAAAATTAACTCTGAAATACTATTTTCAACCAGGTTAAGAAATAACATTGAGGTAATTTGTTTCTGGATTTTCAAAAGGCGGTATTAGGAATATCACAATGGATGGAATGAGAAAACAGAGCGTCTTAAAAATGACCAGCAATTCAACAGATCAATGCATATATGAGGGGTCTTCAAAAAGTTTATGGAGACTATGCGTTATGAAAAAACTATGGGGCCAGCCAGACGACAAGATGGTTAAGGCAGCTGGATCTCCCATGGCCAACTGTGCGGTTTGAGTACTGGACCCAGAGCCTTGAAAACCACCATGAGTGCATGTGCATGCCCAAATCCTGAGAGGAGAATGGAGAAGGGACTGCAGTGTGGTTATCCCCTTTGGGGATGCTTTCTCACTTTCCCTCCCTTCCCTGCTCTCTTGTGTGGTTATGGGCACACATCCTATAGCAAAAAAAAAAAAAAAAAGAAAAAAAAAAAGAAAAAACTGCATACATGTCATTTTTTATACACCCAAAATAAACTCATACTTTAATTCCGTTTTTTTCCCAATTTTTAAAGTCTCCTCATATCTGAAAGTTCACACAGCACTAAACAAGGACAAGATACTGTTGCTGCTTTTTATAATCGCCTGTGGTGTACATGTAATCTGAACTGTTAATTAGTGAAAGAAAATAATAGAACATACATGGTTCTGTATTTTTAAGTTATATGAGAGTATATGTATCTATAATTCCAAAACCCTACTTGAAGATATGTGGTCATACTCATGATAAACAAAGTTTTAGGATTATTCATCACCAAGTGGTTTATGGGCAATAAGCTTTGCATTTCTACATATAATTTTCTCAAAAATGTTTCCCATTTTCTGTTATGAAAGGAAGATGGTTCTCTCTGCAAAACTTAGATATTAGAAGAAAAAATATAAAACAAGAAAAAAAAAAACCTTAAGTCTGGCCACTCAGAGACAGACACTGAATTTTTATCCTTGTATGATCAAAAGGACACTCTTAGGTACACTTACTGTGCCTTGACTGGAGAGCCACATGAACCTGGTGGGTATACACCCTCCTCCTGCCCCTTCTCCCATAAAGGTCCTCTGGGATATCTGACCACTGATGACTTCTCTTACAGTGAAGCTTATCAGCCTAGGTTTGTATCAAGAGGTAATTTAACCTTTTCTATTTTTCTTTAATACTCTCTAGTACTGTACTATGGTTTATGTGTTCCCCTAAAATTCATGTGTTGAGATTTGGTTGTGATGGGATTAAGAGGGTGAAAACCTAATTCAAATCTATGGTGTTGGAAAGTGAAGCCTTTGGGAAGACATTAGGATTAAGGTCATTGGAGTTGGGCTGCCCTGATTGTCTTCTGGGGGGTTATCAGGAGAGGAAATGGGACAGAAAACAGACTGGATAGACACATTTCCTCTGCTCCATTCTTGTCCTTGTGATGTGATATCTCAAGGTTCTGCGAGACCTTGACCAGGTGCGGCCTCTCTACCTACAGACTGTGAGCTGAGTAAACTATTTTCTTAAGGGACTTAGACTCAGGTATTGTCTGTTAATTAGCAACAGATCCTACTAGAATGTACAGATCTCAACTTTACTGACATTAATCCAGGGAAGTTAAAATGCATGTATTTTATAAAAAAAACTTACATTATATAAATCAGCAGCCAGTTTTTCAATGTACTGTTTCAATTTATCAGCTGTTTTCAAGCCATCTTGAAAGAAACTATAATGAAAAACATCAGAAATTTACCAGCAGAATAAAAAAAGAACCATAATTACCTGTAAAAATTTAAAAAAAGAAAAGTCCAGTGATTGACATAAAACAGTTACAAAGCTAATTTAAGTATTTTATAAGGATGTACCAACAAATAACTTATAGCTACCATAATCTACATCTCATAATCACAAAGACACTGCAAGCGATAGTCCCAATGCAGTGATTTCACCATGCGTGCCCTTCTATATAAAGATTGTCTGTTTGTGTCATAGTTTAATTAATTAATTTATTTATCTATATATTAATTAATTAATTAATTAATTCTTTTTTTTGGAGAGGTTTTTGCTATAGGGTGCGTGCGCTCACCAGACAGACAGAGAGAGACAGAGAGACAGAAAGTGAGAAATCACCCCACAGGGGGAATGGCCATGCCGCAATCCCTTCTTCTCCATTCTCCTCTCGGGATCCTGGGCACGCACACACACACGCCCGGCATGAGTTTTAAGCCACCGGGTCCAGGACGCAAACCGTGGTTGACTACATGGGAGTCCAGCGACATAGCCATTACGCTAACTGCTGGTCCCCATAGTTGAATTTAAAAGAGAGAGAGACAGACACGCACATTCACCAGGGGAACATTAAAGCCAATAGGACATTATCAAGAGAGAAGTGAGCGAACTAGAGATAAAGGCAGGAGGAGGATCAGCCTTCATTCAGTTCCCAAAGATATCTGTGTCCAACACACACTTGAAACACAGGACTTCAAAGCAATGGTACCAATGGATCTGGAAAATCTTATCCTACCACATATATAAAAAGGCTGCCTTATCTCACCTGGACAAGAGCTATCATCAGCTAGACAGCTGTCACATGCCCAGCGTTGCATGGAGCACTTTATACCAGTCACCACGTTTATTCAACTTTCAAGTACTTCAACCTCATCTCCATTTATTCAGAAGGGTAAACTGAGGCACGGGGTCTATAACTAGCTTACACAACTAGTAAACTGCAGGGTGGGCTTCAGAGGTCTAAACTGCAGGTCCACCTGATTCTGAAGCCAACTATCAAGGAAAGAGCTCGTCTCAGGAAGACATTTCTACTTATTGGGTCATCAGGAAAATCATGACACATTTTTTCACAGAAAAACAGAAAAATATGTCATGACTTTTCTAATAACCCAATATTATAGGTACCCAGTCTATGACATCAGTTTAGAGAAATATACAACAGATCTCCAGAAACGGGTGTTTGGAATTTTCTTTGGCCTACTGGCAATTTCTCTAACCATGACCCTGCAGCAGAGTACTTCTCAATGCACTTTATCTGTTCTGCTGTCTACAAATGCGGATGATCTTGGGGACAAAGACCATCTCATCTCCACTTCACAGTGGGCCCAGCACAGAGTGGCTCCTCAGTAAGTGGCTAGGAATGAATAAAACAGGATCCGGGCTTTTTAGGCACATCGTAGGAGCCATATTTTTAAAGGCTTAATACAAGTACAGTCAGTGGCAATAATACATCCTATTAGAACTGGCCCTCAGAGTGGTTAGTGCAATCTTGTCAGTTCCAAGATACTTTAAGGTTTCTATCTTTGGCAGGGAACACTTACTAAAATAAGGGAAAGAAACATTATCCTTTGAAAGTAAGCAACAGAGATAGAAGAGAGGGCTTGTGATTGACCATTCAACTGGAAAAACTACATTTAAACCCCAATTTTCTAACATTCAGGTTTTCGTGACAGCCGACAGAGATGCAACTTAAACCTCTCTGGAGAATGAAAGAACTCGTATGTTCTGTCCCTTGAATGGTTTCCAGTTTTATCTCCTATCATTTTCCTTTAAAAACTCCAGGCTCCCGCCATGCTACATTATTTCCATTTGCTTGTTCTTCCTCCTTGCTCCTTTACTCCCATCTCTGCAAACGCTGCTCTCTCTGCCTGGAATGCGCTTCCTTGCTATATAGCCACTGGCTGAACTCTCATTCTGCCGACACTCAGGTCAGCTGCTACAGCCTCCCTTGGTCTTGCCAGTCAAGGGGATGGAAGTGCGAAGTGCTGAGCACTTGTGCCCAGCCGAGATTCCAGCCTTAGTGTGGCTAGCATGGCTCTAGCATCTTTCACGTCAAGGAATGGGTGAATGCCAAGGAGGTAGAAGTATGGCTACAAGGTTGATCACAGCGAAACCTATTTGGTCTGATACTGCACTTAAATAATTCCTAGAAGAGGGTATTGAAGGTAGAACCCTAAGTATGAACTGACGCTGATGAGGACTTCTTACAGCAGAAACAGTGAAGGCTACAGGGCCAGCTAATTATGACTGAGAATCTGTGTCCAGAGATTTAATAGATATGGGATCTTGATGAGTCATTTTTACTTGTCTCAGTCTTGCTTTGCTCATGTCTAAATTGGGCAAATAACATGTATGAAACCACCCAGTAAAGTGTGGGGCAGTTAGAATGTGCTCTGGAGATGCACAGGTTTATCAAACAAAGACACATTTCCCTCCTGGAGGGATACAGATTCTTTGCAGGATTTTTATAAGTGTGTTTCATTTTCATTTTCAACACAAAGGGACTTTAGGAATGTTTATTAAAAAAAAAAAAAAGATGAACTGAATGAGAATACTCTAGATCTCTGTTTTTCAATATGGAAGCCACCGGTCATAAGTGGCTATTTAAAATAAGTTAAAAATTCAGTTCCTGAAGTTTCACTAGCCATCTTTTAAGGGTTCCCTAGGCAAATGTAGCTAGTGGGTACCATGTTAGGCAGCAGAGTATGAACGTTTCTATCCCCGTGGCAGAGAGTCTGAACAAGTTCATCACTAAAGCAAAGGTGATGAAGATTTCCACCATCACAGGTTCTACTGGTCAGAGCTACTCTACATAAAGAACAAACAGGCCAGCAGATGGCATGGACGTTGAGGTGGCTGGATCCCACATGGTCGACTATGTGGTTTAAATCTTTGAGCCAGCAGCTTGGAAGACATACTGGGCATGCTATGTGTACATGCCTAAAATCCTGAGAGGAGGAGGACCATGGCATGGCCACAATCTCTGTTTCTGTCTACCACTGAGCACACATGCCCTATGGCAAAACCCAACAAAAAACCAAACAAGGTTGGCCTTGTAGCCTACTGGTTAAAGGAGCTAGATCCTACATGGCTGACTGTTGTTTGAATCCCAGCACTGACGGCTTGAAAAACACACTGGATGTGTGTATATACATGCCCAAAATCTTCACAAAGGGAGGGAAAAAGAGATTCAATGTGACCATGCCCCAGTAGGGGGTGCTTTCTCTCTCTCCAACTTTCTCTGATGAGCACATGCACCCTCAGGCAATGAAAATAACAAAATAATAATAATTTCTTTAAAGGTTTCTGCTGTAGTGTGGATGTGCTCAGAAAGAGACAGAGAGAGGAAGTGAGAAATCCACAACTCTCCTCCTCCCCAAGGGGAATAGCCACATGGCATTCCCTTCTCCTCCATTCTCCCCTTAGGATTTCAGGCACACATACACAAATGCCCAGAGTGATTTTCAAATCACCAGGTTCTGGGCTTGAACTGCATCACCCATGTGGGAGTCCAGTGCCTTAAACACCATGCCACCTACAGGCCCCAGAATAAACACAGTTGAACAGCATGCAAGGCATAATCCCATTTTTTTTTTTTTTTGGAGAGATTTTCACTGTAGGGCGCATGCGCTCGCCAGACAGACAGAGAGAGACATAGAGACAGAAAGCAAGAAATCACCCCTCAGGGGGGATGGTCACGCCGCAATCCCTTCTCCTCCATTCTCCTCTCGGGATCTTGGGCACGCACGCACACGCGCCCGGCGTGAGTTTTAAGCCACTGGGTTCGGGACACGAACCGCAGTCGACTACGTGGGAGTCCAGCGACATAGCCATTATGCTAACTGCTGGTTCCCCCATTTTTGTAAACATGATAAACCAGATACATAAGTCCAGTAGACTTCTTTTGAAGAGATTATAGGATTTTAAAATTTATCCTTAACAAGATTTTCTAGATATTTCTCCCCCAAGAAGGATCATATTACACTCAGGCAAAACAAAACTGAAGAATCGACATTTAGACTGGAAGGGCACGATCGAGGTGTGTCCCTTGCAAGGTCATCCTAGAGCCAACTTCTACTATAGTCTTCAGTAAACAGCAGGAGTGGAGGACTGGTTGCAGGACTCTCTTCTGAACAAAGTGCTCGTGGTAGCCAGGAACCCCACAAACAGCCAAGTGTAACATGCTGTCTACTGCACTGTCCTCTGGTGACCCTCTGTGCTGGAGCTTGAGATGGGGTGGGACACAGCCCCACATTTCCCTGAGGGCAGAGGGCTTCCTGGTCCCCTTTTTGTTCCTTCCTCTATTTTAGTTGGTTCTAGTTCAGTGAGGAGTCAAGCGCTGAAGAGTAAAATGCACTCACATGTGGCTCTAACATTACTCTGTGTCTAACTGTGGACAGGTTACAGACCTGACTGAATATCAGCTGCTTATCTCCAAATGTGGATTCCTTCTAGCTTCAAGAGGCATCAGATGAACTACTACAGATAAATGTGTCCCAACAACTGACAGGTGAGGGCACAAGTGTAAATTCTGATCAGCTATCACAGAATTTAACACGTATAGGAGGAAATGACCTCTGTAACAGTCCATTGTCCCTTGGTCAGTTTATGATTATTGTTCGAATCCCAGCACTGATGACTTGAAAAACACACTGATGTATGTGTACGTGCATGCCCAAAATCTTAACACGGGAGAGGATAGAAGGGATTCAATGTGCCCATGCTCCAGTAGGGGGTGCTTTCTCTCTCTGTCTCCATTTTTCTCTGATGAGCACATGCACCCAGGCCAATGACCCCAACTCCATGGGGACAGAGTCTGCTCCTTGTGCTCTAGACTCTTCTGGACCTCCCTCACCCAGTGCATCTCTTTATCTGGCTCTTCATCCATTTGTGTCCTTTATAATAAATTGTGTAAGTCAATAAAAGTGAAAAAAAGGC